CTTATAAATGAGTATTGTTATGGAGAACCAAGTTAAGCGCTAGATATAAAATTGTTTGTAATTTAAAGCTAAAAAAACCAAAAACTTTTTAAGTCTATACTCCTAAGTTAGTAATTATTATTGGACAAAAAGAGTTACAAGAAGAAAAAGTATTAATAAAAGATTGCCAACAAAAAAAAAAGAATTCTGAAAAAAATAGTAGATTGAGTTTTTAATTATTTAAAATACGTTAACTAACAAGAAGAGCCTGTCATATTAAAGTAGGCTCGACTATTTATTTGAACTGTAATCGTTTATCTTGCTTTTTATGAAAATAAATCACTTGTTTTAATATTGTTTGAGTGAAAAAACAGCACTCTTTAATACGTGTTTTCATGTATCCTTTTCATTTACATGTTTGATGTTTTTACCTATCAACTTATTCTTTTATAGTTTTTCATATCTTGGCTTTGTTTTTGAATAATGTGCCTTTGCAGTTAACTTATTAGCTTTTAAATTTATCTTGTTTTGGAGAACAACCTCATTTTTGATAGAGTCATATTGATAGAGCTTCTCTCGTAAATATTCCCTCAAATCATGAATTCCCTGTTTCCTAACTAGTGTCCAGTTCGAGGATAAATTTTAAATTCAACTAAATAATCATTGTCCATTAAAATTTCTATGCTGGTTTGACTAATCCAAAGAGGAACTAATTTGTCCTTTTCACCATGGCAGATTAGCACAGATGTTTTTGGCTTTTTATTTTCTGCTAATTGACAGGCACTTTGATACAAAGGCAAAATACCTGATAAACAAATTACCCCACCTAAAGCTTGAGGGAAAGTTAATTCAGCAGCTAGAGCAGTTGAATCTCCTTGAGAATAGCCAACCAGAAAAATATTCCATGGGGAATTCCAATTTCAATTTCTTCTTGAATGACTTGGTGAATGGTTTGACAACTTTTCAATAGTTCTTCTTGATTAATTTTACTATTTTGTCAATTTCTTCCAAAGAAATAGGTGATAAAATATTTTGCAAGGTGCTGCCATTCATGCTATACCAAGACTCAGTGGCAAATGATTGCGGGAAAATAAACTTAGTTTGAAAAATTCCTTTCTAGTTTTTTCATTAAAGACAATTTCTTCTTTAGTTTTAGCTAAATCTGTGCCATGTAAAAAAATAATGGTTGAGATATGCTCATTTTCGGGAAGGAAAATAATCTTGTCCATCTTGATAAAGGCAATCAACTGCCTCGTTTTACTGACCGTCAGCAAAGAATGTCCCAAGCAGAGTGTCTAGAATTCTACAGTGCATAAATCTGCTCGCTCTAAAAATATATTTTTTTGTATTGTATGTGGTTTTTAAAAAATTATATTTAGTAATGGTTCCAATTTAATTTTCACATTTAATTTAAATCAATTGAAAATATTAAGTATGGATATAAATTAACTAATTCAGTCACATAATATGTAACTGAATGAGTTAATATATTTAGTAATGGTTCCAATTTAATTTTCACATTTAATTTAAATCAATTGAAAATATTAAGTATGGATATAAATTAACTAATTCAGTCACATAATATGTAACTGAATGAGTTAATGTATTTAGTATTTAGAAATAAATACTTTTTAATACCTTTATTTCTACGGAAAATTAGTAGTTAGAATCGGGTTGACTATGAAAACTTAAAAGATCATTTAAACGAACTAAATAGTTTTGATTTTGATTTACATAGTGCTTATTTAAAAAATTGTTAGTAAAAAAAACACAATTTTTTTAAAAAAAGGTTGCACCAAAAGTATTTTACATGCAAATATTTACTTTATAGTACCAGTACATAAAATATTTTTTGCATTACGTACTGTAATCGAAGAAAACTATTTTATTTCAATCACCGAAAATCGCAAAATCACATGTCCCTGACATAGTGATAGTTAACCACTCCTGACGTGACATATATAGTCTATTGCCACATCCAATGACGACAATACTATTATCTAGAACTTTTATTTAAATATAATGAATTTAAACTTAAGAAAAAATTAGTTGATAATAATTGTCATTTGATAATTTAATAAGTAATTGACTATGTAATAAAAAATTATCAAGTAAAAAATGATACAAGTGTGCGAAACCTGTATTGTGACATAGCTGGTTTATAGGCGAAAAAAAAAAAACATCACAAAAAAATTTAAAAATTTCGTATAAAAATAGTGCCAAATTTTTAGCATCAGCCCCAACAATTAATATTTGAAAAAATACAAGTACACAACTTCTCAATTAAATATTTCGAATTATAATTCATTTAAATAATATTGTACAATAATTTAGTTCAATTAACTATATCGTTTATTTGTTTAAATATTTCCAAAATTTTATTGATAAATTCTCTATAACTAAATTTTTAAATTGTTTGTAAAAAAAAAATCAATTTAATTTTCTATAGCTTTCCTCTATGAAAATAGAAAAGCAAGTAAATTTGTTAAATAATGCCTTATTATTTTATTGACCTGTTTTATATGAGCTAGATAGAGAAGCAACATCTCTAACATGAGCACAAAAATACACAAGCTCACCATAAATCAAATAACCAAATTAAATTGCAAAATTATTACGCTTTAAAAGTGAAAACAATACACTTCTAGAAAACAATTCACTTTAGCATGAGCTTTCCTTTTAAATATGAATATCGCATGACCAAAAATAAATATAATTGGCTATTTTATATTTATTACATAATATATACTCTGTCTGATCTTAGCCAGGCTATTGAATGCGATTATTTATTATTTATAATAAATATTGTGACCCTAAAGAGAAAACTTTTTTGATTTATATTAAAGTTCATATAGGATTTTAATTATGGAACGGGCATGGTGGATTTGAAAGGATCGGTTTTGGGAGGGCCAACTGTAATAATGCCTTCAATTATTTCAGCATTAAGACTACTTTGTTGAATGGCCTGGACGCATCAATCTTTATAGTTCCTTTTGTGACCAAGTCTAGTAGGATATGAAAAATTTCTTATCATTTCGTGTAACAGTTTGTCGGATCTCACTTTGCTTGAAAGCACTCTAAATGAAAGCTAACGCTAAAGCCACCATATTAAATACACGTCATAGTATTTCAGCATCCCTGGATGCTGAAATAAATCACATGATTAATCGGTTAAAAGGCTGCTTTTTTATTTAAATCTACTAATGCTATACATCAACCAATAAGATTTTATTGTATCACATACGATGTAGTCACGAATTACGTCATCTTGTAAAGATTTTAGTTCAGCCAATCAAAATCATA